TTCAGATACTGTATGCAAAAGTACCAATGATGCTGAAAAGTGTGTACAGGTTTTAGAATCTTTTTCAGAGAAGGTCTTTCATATTTCAGCTAGACACACAGTGCAGTGCATCAACAGCATGGCTTCGTAGAAGAGTCTGGGTGCTGAACTGACCCGCCTGCAGTCCAGACTCCCAGTTTAGTACATTTGGTTCATCAGTAAATAAACAGATCCAGTAAAGATGACCCAGTACTGTTGGAACAGCTAGAATCCTGCATCGTACAAGAACAGGAGCAGCTGCTCTCCTCAGTTTCTAGATGTTTGGCTGATTTTAAAAATGCTTCACGGCTGTAAACGTGGACTTGTCCCAACATTTAAAAGATGTGCTGTTTATTATGTTCTGCTGTGAAAAGAGATTAAGAGACTTGCACACCATCACATTCAGATCTTGTTCACGTTTTTAAACGTCACGAGTTTTATGAAACTGGTGCTGTCCAAGTCTTGAAGCTGTAAAGGCTTCTATCGTAGCAACGATCTGTTCTTCTGTCATTTATCAGCTTCACATCAAACAGCCGACAGCGTTTTTCCATTTCGCTGTGGAGACCCTGTGCCTGGTTGGAAATACGGCCTTGTTCCAGGAAAACTGACTTCCTCCACAAATACACATTAATCTCCCTGCCTCATCTGAAGACTAATCATATAATGAAAGCGCCACACTTGCTCATTATCATCTAAATTGGAATCTGTTAAGTCCAAAGTGAAATTGCAGACTGGAGTCTGGATGTTCTTTTTATTTTCTGTGAGACTCTTTAATCTGCAGCCAGTGGTGAAAGATAAGAGACGTACACCAGAAACAACAGCAGAATAACAGGGTTGTGTTTTTCATGAGTTTGCATTGTGTAAACTAGAAGTATGGTCAAAAGTTAATTTAAAACGTTTTACTTTTCACACACACAAACACACAATTGTATTTGTTACTTGGATTCTGGCTTTAATTGTGCTTTTTGTTCAAGCATCCTGTTCCATTGATCTCTTCTGGTTGGTTTCAGATTGTCCAGATGACATGATTTAACCTACTTTGTCAGTGTCTTTAGTTCATTACAAGATGATTTTTGTGTGTGAGTGTTTTTTTATCTCATGACCTGTTTTGTTCTTACCTCCTTGTTTAGGTGGCGCAGTCCTCTCCCTCTCCACTTTGCTTTTGCTCTGTCCTGTCTGGGAAATTGCTTTAGAGCCTCTCTTCTACAAATCTTCCGAGACATAACTATGGACTTGGATTTGATCAG